CCCCAAAACCCCAAAACCCCAAAACCCCAAAACCCCAAAACCCCAAAACCCCGTTAGGGGATTTGATGATAGAATTATAAATAAATATGTTACCCTCGATTAGGACAAGGCAGAAGGCAAATTCGGTGACAGCGAGAGTGCCAGCGATGAGTAGAAGGAGTGGGCTGGTTGTTGATACGAAGAATATATTACAGACTAGTCGAAGGAATATGTTCTTGATGGAAAAAGATCCAAGAAAAGTTCAAAATAACCTATCTCTACCTACAACCACTAGAGCTTCAGCTCCTAGGGCTTCATCCAATAAGGCTTCAGCCCCTAAGTTAAACTTGTCAGCCAATATCTCGAATAAACTTCTAAAGAATAGGCTTGCTGTGAATAAGACTTCACTCAGCTCCATCTGAAAGAGCAATTATAAGTATTACAGAAGTGCAGGATTTACAAAGAAATTCATGGGTTACATGTTTGAAGACACTTCCATGGACAAAAAGCTGAAGAAGGAAATAGTGATAGAGAGAATGAGAAATAAAATGAGTAAGTGCTTTCCTATATCAATAACGATAATCTGATAATTCGTATTTTCATTTTCCAAACCCTTCTCTACCCCTTTAACATGACAAGATTATTCATTTTCCCCATAACTCACCTTCTTCCAGGTAAAATCGACACTAAAAGACAACTGGTTCAAAACGACCGTGACAAGAAGAAATAAAATCCTCTCTTTCTACAGGAAGAATTACGATATCAAGCTTAAAAATATCAGCATGCCCATAGAGAAGCTGGAGGACATTCTTAGTGCGAAAGTGACTAAACGGAAGCAACAAAAGGCTTCCTTGACTATCCAAACTGCCTTTAGAAAATTCATCGTACTTAAATAAATACAAACAATTTGTACAGAGAAGACTTGATGCAGCTAGTTATATCCAACGCGTCTGGAAACGATACAGGATGATCTCAATGGTTCCCAAAGCATGGAAGAAGTTTAAGAATGAACGCATTTGAAGGATTCAGAAGTATATGAGAGGATATATCGTCCATAAACGCACCTTTGAAACACTCAGTAGAATCAAGCTGACTACTAATTTCGAATACTTTGGAAAAATTAAAGACCAGCTCCATGAGAATTCACAGATCAAGATCAGGTATTATTGGCTTAAGTGGAAAAAGAATGTTGAGAAGAGAAAGAAAGCTAAGGCTAAAGCTGTTGCTAAAAATAAGCGGCCCAAACTTAGTAACAAGTTTAATAGCTTTAAGAAGGGAAGTGTGGTCTATAAGAACCCACCTATTGCAAATGTTTCACCTGCTATGCATTTAAATTCTACACATAAGGAATCTACTCCTGCAAGGATACTCACCCAGTTGGAAAGCTCTAAGAAAAAGATGAGTTGTATGACTGGACTGAACCTTGATTCTCCAGCAATTCGTATGGACCAAGGTGATTCCCTCTCTAGTCATAAGGAATTGGCTAGTAATGAAGAGGAAGATAAAGAGTAAATAATTGACACCTTGCTATTAAAATTGTTTCAATGATTCTTTAAGTCACTGGGGTTTTGGGGTTTTGGGGTTTTGGGGTTTTGGGG